AAAAGAAAGAAGAAAGAAAGAAGAAAGAAGATAAGTAAGTAGGTAGGAAGGTAGGTAGGAAGGAGAAAAGGAAGGAAAGAAAGATAGGAAGGAAGGAGGAAGGAAAAAAGAAAGAAAGAAAAAGAAAGAAGATAAGTAAGTAGGTAGGAAGGTAGGAAGGAGAAAAGGAAGGAAAGAAAGATAGGAAGGAAGGAGGAAGGAAGGAAAAAAAGAAAGAAGAAAGAAAGAAGAAAGAAGATAAGTAAGTAGGTAGGAAGGTAGGAAGGAGAAAAGGAAGGAAAGAAATAGGAAGGAAGGAAGAAGGAAGGAAAGAAAGAAAGGGAAAAAAAGAAAGAAGATAAGTAAGTAGTTAGGTAGGTAGGAAGGAGAAAAGGAATTAAATGATTTTGATTTAATTTGATGATTTGGTAATTTAAATCGACAGGAAAAAAGTCTAAAGAAGTTTTGAAAAGATATGGATTGCGGACATGAAGAAAACACGTCAAAATCACTTGAATGGGGTTTTAAAAAAAAAGCTGGCACTAAATTTAGTCTGGAGTTAAAAGACCCCCAAACTGGGTGAAAAGTTAGCCGTGAATGCTTAGTTTTATGGGGGGCTTGGTGTCCCCCAGGAAGATGGAGATGGGAGGGGAGGGGCACCAATATCTCTGAGGCTTATTTTATTTTATTTTATAGACAAACACATAATACATACAATCCATAATCAATCATTCAGTGTATCGTCTGAGTACATCTTTTGCGTCTTCGTCCTACTCCTCCACTATGTATCATCGCTTCATTTATTATAACATTTCTCCCACATTTCTTGCTTTTCTATTACTACATTTATCTATCTCCTTTCTCTGCTTTCTTCTTCACTCATTTCACGACAACATTACCCTATATATATATATATCTATTCACTAACCAATGATAAAATTGTCCCCATACCTTAAAATGCCCTCTGTCAGAAATGGTGTAGGGCAGTGATGGCTAACCTTTTTGCCATTGTGTGCCAAAAGTGGGGGGGGAGCAGGGGTCACGCGTGCACATGTCCACACCCAATGCGCCCCCCCCCCCTGCACATGCGCGCACGACCCCCCCCCATGCTCCCTTCACTTTTAGCACACGGTGGGCACAGTAGATCCGTTTTTCACTCACTCCAGGCTCCAGAGCCTTTCTTGGAGCCTGGGGAGGGCCGAAACAGCCTTCCGCACTCTCCTGGAGGCCCTCTGGAGGCCGGAAACGGCCCATTTGCTGATTTCTGGTAGGATTGGAAGTGCCATTTTTCGCTCTCCCCAGGCTCCAGAGCCTTTCTTGGAGCCTGGGGAGGGCCGAAACAGCCTTCCGCACTCTCCTGGAGGCCCTCTGGAGGCCAGAAACGTCCCGTTTGCTGATTTCTGGTGGGACTGGAAGTGCCATTTTTCGCTCTCCCCAGGCTCCAGAGCCTTTCTAGGAGCCTGGGGAGGGCCAAAACAGCCTTCCGCATCCTCCTCTGGAGGCCGGAAACGGCCCATTTGCTGATTTCTGGTAGGATTGGAAGTGCCATTTTTCGCTCTCCCCAGGCTCCAGAGCCTTCCTAGGAGCCTGGGGAGGGCCGAAACAGCCTTTCGCACACACCCCCGGAGGCCCTCCAGAGACCGGAAATGGCCCATTTGCCAACTTCCAGTGAGCCCGGAAAGCCCAAAGAGCTAGGGTAATACTCATGTGCCCACCAATATGGCTTCACGTGCCACCTGTGGCACGCATGCCGTAGGTTCGCCATCATGGGTGTAGGGTCTCCTACACCCATGATGGGAGGGGTTGGACTAGATGCCCTACAAGGTCCCTTCCAACTCTTGTTAATCCGAATCCTCTCTTCCTTTAATTATCAAAGCCAAATCTGTTCATTTCTGCGCAATCCCATATTTTCTTTAATTACTTCTCCCTCTGTAGGGATTTTTCTCTGCTTTCCATCTTTTTGCGCAAATGCTATCCTCGCCGCAGTTATAACACATATAATCAAATATGTATTTTCTTTACTAAATTTGTCTGGTAGGATACCCAATAGGAACGGTTCAGGTTTTAAATCCATATGTCGTTGTATCATTTCTGAAGCTTTGTTGAGGTGTGGGTGGGAAGTCTGTCATGCTTTGGGGTTTTATTTTCACTCTCTTCATCTATCAGTCTTCCCCCACTGCTTCTGTGTATATACACACACACACACACACAAACACACACACACACAAAGAGAGAGAGAGACACACACACATCAATCCCTATTAGTCTCTTTCTGAACGCTGGAAAATCTGGAGTGGATTTCACCCAAGAGAGATATTCTCCCTTCAATGCTTGGCCTCTAAGACATCAATTAGCTAGGATTGTTCAAAATAAAATAAAAATAAAAATCATACATATCTCATCTGAGAAAATCTCAGCGTTATTGTTTTGTTTTTTTTGCAAAAAGTTTATTTTTTATTTTTTATTTTTTAAATTTGATTTATATGCGCCCTTCTCCGGAGACTCAGGGCAGCTTACAACGCGCTAAGCAATAGCCTTCATCCTTTTGTATATTTATACAAAGTCAGCTTCTCTTTCTTTCTTTCTTTCTTTCTTTCTTTCTTTCTTTCTTTCTTTCTTTCTTTCTTTCTTTTCTTTCCTTCCTTCCTTCCTTTTCTCTTTCTTTCTTTCTTTTCTTTTTTTTTAATTTGATTTATATGCCACCCTTCTCCGGAGATTCAGGGCGGCTTACAATGCGCTAAGCAATAGCCTTCATCCTTTTGTATATTTATACAAAGTCAGCTTCTCTTTCTTTCTTTCTTTCTTTCTTTCTTTTTTTTTTCTTTCCTTCCTTCCTTCCTTTTCTCTTTCTTTCTTTCTTTTCTTTTTTTTTAATTTGATTTATATGCCACCCTTCTCCGGAGATTCAGGGCGGCTTACAATGCGCTAAGCAATAGCCTTCATCCTTTTGTATATTTTATACAAAGTCAGCTTATTGCCCCCACAAACTGGGTCCTCAATTTACCTACCTTAGAAAGGATGGAAGGCTGAGTCAACCTTGAGCCTGGCGAGATTCGAACCTGCAGTAATTGCAGGCAGCTGGTCTTAATAACAGGGTGCTTTAAACCACTGTACTACCAAGGCTCTTTTTGATTTTTTTTACACAAACAAACACACAATGTATTTTTTTCTGAACAGAGTATTGGCCGGGTTCACACATTTAAACAATTTTTAGTCATCTCCAATACAATTTATATTTTGGCCGTAGTGTTTGTTCGCTCTAATGTTTATAAGCCAATATTACCCTTCATCCTAATCTCTGATCGTAATAAAATTCAATTTTTCCCTTTTCATCTCCAAGTTAAACCCCTTCCATTTAAAATCTCGCCACGTAATGTAATTCCTAATGTTTCCTTAAATTCCCTTATTATAATCACAAATATGTGTCATTATCAACTATTCCAAATAATAGGATCCAACACCTGAATAAAAATCAGTTAATTATGGAGCATTACAATCATTCATTTCTTTTCAGTCAACGCCAAAGGCGCACGGAACGCTCTTCCCTTCCCACCAAAGGGGGTCCCTATTTTTCTACTTGCATTTTTTTTTACCTGCTTTCGAACTGCTAGGTTGGCAGAAGCTGAGACAAGTCGCGGGAGCTCACCCCGTTATGCGGCACTCAGGATTCGAACCGCTGAACTGCCGACCTTTCGATTGACAAGCTCAGCATCTTAGCCACTGAGCCACCACGTCCTCGTCTTCTTCCTCTAAAAGGTGTCAATTCTTTGTAACTGCTATGCTAATAGCAAATCCTTCCTAAAAGTTATTGCATTACATTCTTGATTCAATGATCTTTCCATTGATATATAATTGGATGGTACGACTCCAAAAAAAAATAAAAAAAAGTGGTGTTATTAGCTAGTTTTAGTAAATACACTTTTCCCAAAAGGTTTCCACAATTTTGGCCGCTATTGCAGGTAAATTACATCTGTCCAACATTTCCTTGCTCAGAGTTATAATGTTGAAAATCTCTCCCCTTTTTCTTTGTTTCTCAGACCATTGAGAAAAGCCCAATCGGTTGTGTTTTATGTTTTCTTTTCTTTTCTCTTTTCTTTTCTTTTTTTCTCCTTCTCTTCTCTTCCCTTTCTTTTTTCTTCTCTTCTCTTCTCTTCTCTTCCCTTCCCTTTTTCTTCTTCTCTTCTCTTCTCTTCTCTTCCCTTCCCTTCCCTTCCTTTTCTTTTTTCTTTTCTTTTTTTCTTTTCTTTTTTTTCTTCTTCTCTTCTTTTCTCTTCTCTTCCCTTTCTTTTTTCTTCTCTTCTCTTCTCTTCTCTTCCCTTCCCTTCCTTTTCTTCTTCTCTTCTCTTCTCTTCTCTTCTCTTCCCTTCCCTTTCTTTTCTTCTTCTCTTCTCTTCCCTTCCCTTCCTTTTTTTTTTTTCTTTTTTCTTTTCTTTTTTCTCTTCTCTTCTCTTCTCTTCCCTTTCCTTCCTTTTCTTTTTTCTTTTCTTTCTTTTCTTTTTTCTTTTCTTCTTCTCTTCTTTTCTCTTCTCTTCCCTTTCTTTTTTCTTTTCTTCTCTTCTCTTCTCTTCCCTTCCCTTCCTTTTCTTCTTCTCTTCTCTTCTCTTCTCTTCCCTTCCCTTTCTTTTCTTCTTCTCTTCTCTTCCCTTCCCTTCCTTTTTTCTTTTCTTTTTTTCTCTTCTCTTCTCTTCTCTTCTCTTCCCTTCCCTTCCCTTCCTTTTCTTCTTCTCTTCTCTTCTCTTCTCTTCTCTCTTCTCTTCCCTTCCTTTTCTTCTTCTCTTCTCTTCTCTTCTCTTCTCTTCCCTTCCCTTCCCTTCCTTTTCTTCTTCTCTTCTCTTCTCTTCCCTTCTCTTCTCTTCCCTTCCTTTTCTTTTCTTTTCTTTTCTTTTCTTGTTATCTGAGATTAATGACTCTACAAGTGTGATGTTGCCAAGCCATGCTGGGCATAAGACTCCCTTCCTGCTGCCTCCGGTCCAGGTGATCCAGGCCACGTTTTTCTTGTGGCACGGGACCGAGTGGACGGTGAGTTTGTCCAGCCTGTTAGATCAAGGCATGGTTTCAGCATCTCTGACCCCCACAAGGACTTGGAGTGGTCTTCTGGACTGGGGATGCGGGTGGAAGTGGGCAAGGGAGGCTAGGATCCCGCCTTGATGTTGCTTTCGGTTGGGGACGGAACCTGGAGATCTTCTCAGCCTGGCATGGATTTTGGGGTGGCCCTGCTGGTGATTCCTGCTCTCTGGCTTTGGGGTGAGTGCACCTCGAAACTGCTCGGGGGGTTTCCTGGCTAGCAAAATCCAAAACTTCTTTTTGTGTGGCTGTTGAAGGCATCGTGAACTGCTTCTGATAGATCACTGAAATCTTAAGTCTAGCAAGTTGTCCTAAACTCTTGGGGCACCTGCAGGTTACACACACACATACGCACACCGAGGCTCATCATTTCAAAGTTCTTTAGATCTGGAGTAAGGAGGGAGGGGGCAGTTCTTGCAGAGAATGTGGAAATGAAGAGCTGGCGGGTGGGTGGGGTGGGGTGGGGGTCTCGTGGGAGGGGAACTTCATCCCCAGGTGTTTACCAAGGGTTTCCTTTTGTGCTCCAGACGTCTCCAAGGATATAATCTGGAAGGGAGAGAACAAGCTGGGAAGGAGGGAAGTCTGTCCTTCTTCTTCTCCTTCTCCTTCTTCTTCCTCCTCCTCCTCCTCCCTAGGAAACCCCCTCCTCTTCTCCAAGGATGGAAAGGAAAGAACAAGTTGGAAAGGAGAAAATCCTTCCTTCCTTCCTTCCTTCCTCCTCCTCCCCCTTCCCTTCTTCTTCTTCTCCTCCTTCTCCTCCTCTTTCTCTTCCTCCTCCTCCTCCTCCCTAGGAAACCCCCTCCTCTTCTCCAAGGATGGAAAGGAAAGAACAAGTTGGAAAGGAGAAAATCCTTCCTTCCTTCCTTCCTCCTCCTCCCCCTCCCCCTTCCCTTCTTCTTCTTCTCCTCCTTCTCCTCCTCTTCCTCTTCCTCCTCCTCTCCTCCCTCTGGGAAACCCCCTCCTCTTCTCCAACAATATAATTTGGAAGGGAAAGAGCAAGTTGGAAAGGAGAAAATCCTTCCTTCCTTCCTTCCTTCCTCTCCTCCTCCTTTTCTTCTTCTTCTTCTTCTTCTTCTTCTTCTTCTTCTTCTTCTTCTTCTTCTTCTTCTTCTCCTCCTCCTCCTCCTCCTCCTCCTCCTCCTCCTCCTCCTCCTCAATTCTTCTTGTTCTTCTGCTCCTTCTCCTTCTCCTCAATTCTTCTCCTTCTCCTCAATTCTCCTCCTCCTCCTCCTTCTCCTCAATTTTTCTTCTTCTTCTCAATTCTTCTTCTTCTTCTTCTTCTTCTTCTTCTTCTTCTTCTTCTTCTTCTTCTTCTTCTTCTTCTTCTTCTTCTTCTTCTCCTCCTCCTCCTCCTCCTCCTCTTCTCCTCCTCCTCCTCCCACTCCCCCCTTTGGGAAACCCCCTTCTCTTTCTCCTGAACCCCCTCCTTTTGTCTGACATTCCACCGGTCAGAGGGGCTCAGCAGGGGCAGCTCCTGTGTCTAGTATCCATGGCTACTGATCCTGCCTGGGAAGCAGGGACGGAGGCCTTTTGTGCCGGCTTAGGCAGGGGCAGGCTTCCTCCTGAATGGACCTGGCATCGTTGGGGGGCAATCATTCTTTGGCACAATGGCAGAGGGGAAGGTACCCCTTCTGCTTTCTCACTGGTGAGTATGCAAGGAGCCCATCATTCCAAGCAAGTTGCCAAATCTCTCACGAAACGGGCCTCTTGGGCCAAGGAAGGGAGGGCTCTCCGTCCCCCACCCCCCTGAAAAGTTGGCTCTTTTGACTTGACAACTCCACAATGATAACAACCCTACGATCATCGGAACTGCTATTTTCCAACTTTGCGGAAGGGAGAAAGCGAAGTGGGTTGAAGACGGGATGGGAGCTGCAGTGAGTCACTTATTAGTCACCCGTTCTTAAAGATCAACCTTTAAGCTCTTATCTCTCCCACAGCTATTCTAAGATTGTCGCTTTGGGATCATCCTTGGAAGTCCCAAATATATATAAATATATATAGAACCAAAAGGAAGAGCTCCCAAAAGGAGACCCCTTCGGATCACAGCCCACCCCCCACAACACGTGGGCCGAAGATGGTTTTCTAGTTTAAGGCATTATATATATATATATATATATATATATATATATATATATATATATATATATATATATATATATATAATGCCTCTTCCTTTTGGTTCTGGAAGTGTAACCATAGCTGGAGAGCTCCTTGATGATTGCATCTTTTATTATTTTATTGCCTTTATTATCACACCTTCATAAGTTGCCCTTATGGGCAGGTGTTTGGTTTTAGCTTAGTTTACTTTATTGCCATTGCACATGGTGCAACGAAATTATTTTTTTTTTAAAAAAATAGTCTTTATTTACATTTATAGTTAAAAAGAAGACACAAAAAAAAGAACAGAAAAAGAACAGAAGGAGGAACAAGACAAAACAAAAGACAAAACATAAAAGAATATAAACAATATATTAGTAAACTAATATATATATATATATATATATATAATATATATATATATATATATATATATATATATATATATATATATATATATATATATTTGCTTTAATTTATATGCCGCCTTTCTCCGGAGACTCAGGGCGGCTTACAGTGCGTTAAGCAATAGCCTTCATACTTTTGTATATTTATGCAAAGTCAGCTTTTCTTTCTTTCTTTCTTTCTTTCTTTCTTTCTTTCTTTCTTTCTTTCTTTCTCTTTCTTTCTTTCTTTCTTTCTTTCTTTCTTTCTTTCTTTCTTTCTTTCTTCCTTCCTTCCTTCCTTCCTTCCTTCTTTCTTTCTCTTTCTTTTTTTTTCTTTTTAAATTTGATTTATATGCCGCCCTTCTCTGGAGACTCAGGGCGGCTTACAATGCGTTAAGCAATAGCCTTCATACTTTTGCATATTTTATACAAAGTCAGCTTATTGCCCCCACAATCTGGGTCCTCATTTCACCTACCTTTGAAAGGATGGAAGGCTGAGTCGACCTTGAGCCTGGTGAGAATTGAACTCGTAGTAATTGCAGGCAGCAGATGTTAATCTGTTAATAACAGTGCTTTAGTCCACTGTACTACAGGCTCTTATCATATTTAGCGTAAACCTATACAATAGATTCATAATACAATCCGGGGGAGACAGAACGACCTATTTTGAATTTATAAACCAATCAAATCTATCCAACCTCACTCTATATATATGCAATAAAGTATTTTCAATATATACAACGCCTGTTTATATTAATGCCTGCAACGAAATTAAATGCCGGCTTCAGTGTACATTATAACCATTTAAAAAAAAACAAACAAATCCTTTACATTCTTATAGAGTTGAAATTGAAAACTGCACTATATACCGTAGAATTCAATATGGGATAGAAGCTGTTTTTCAGCCTATTGGTCCTTGTTTTTATTTATCCGGTACCGTTTGCCAGATGGTAATAGTTCAACAACAACAACAACAAAAAAAGGATGCCCAGGATGAGATGGATCTTTAGGATGTTTTGAACTTTATGTAAACTTTATATTCTTTATGGAAACAAATATGTGTAGTTTCCCGAAGAACTCTTGAACTTTTCTGGTTGCTCCGCTGATTATTTTATGGATTGTTTAAAACCCGGAGATGCCCGGATGAAGGCTCGGCCTCTGCACCCCGTTTTTGTCCCGATAGGTATAGTAGCCAAGCAGCTTAGGGTTCTTTTCACACAAACCTGTTCAGCTTGTCAAGGTTTAACTTGGGCTTAGGTGCGTGTCCCGGAAGGCTTAGGGTCATATTCGGCGAAACTCAACCTATTTATGGTTTTAGAGGACGGATCTATTTCAATAACCAGGTTAAGTCTGTTGGGTGACGCCAGCGGCCCCAAAGTGACATAAGATAAATGATGTGGATCGTTGGGTGTCTCTTGGGGCCACCAAACATCTCCATGGACTTGTTTGCAGGGGTGGGCTTCAGGATGAGTCACCTGGCCCAGGGTGATGAAGATGATGATGGAGACATACAGAGGAACGCATTCCCATTTCTCTTCTGGGTGATGTTTGAGAAGCAGCAACGAAGACGTTGCTCCAGCAAAGGCTCAGGTAGATGTCTTTGCAAGGCCATCATGAGGATTAACAGATTAACAGAGTTGGAAGGGACCTTGCAGGTCATCTAGTCCAACCCCCCGCCCAAGCAGGAGACCCTACACCATTTCTGACAGATGCCAGTCCAGTCTCTTCTTGAAAGCATCCAGGGATGAAGCTCCCACAACTTCTGAAGGCAACCTCTGTTCCATGGGTTGATTGTTCTTCTCCTTATTTCTCCTTATTTCCAGGTTGAATCTCTCCTTGATCAGTTTCCATCCATTGTTCCTTGTCTGGCCTTCAGGTGCTTTGGAGAATAGTTTGACCCTCTCCTCTCTGTGGCAGCCTCTCAAATATTGGAAGACTGTCTCCCCTGGTCCTTCTCTTCATTAGACTAGCCAGGCCCAGTTCCTGCAACCGTTCATCATATGTTTGAGCCTCCAGTCCCCTTAATCATCCTGGTTGCTCTTCTCTGCACTCTTTCTAGAGTCTCAACATCTTTTTTATAGTGTGGTGACCAAAACTGAATGCAGTATCCTAGGTGTGGCCTTACTAAGGCTTTATAGAGTGGTATTAGTACCTCCCTTGATCTTGATTGTATCTCTCTGTTCATTCAATTTAGGATCACATTGGCTTTTTTGGCTGCTGCTGCACACAGCTGGCTCATATTTAACTGGTTGTCCACTAAGACTCCAAGATCCCTCTCAGAGTTACTGATATTAAGCCTGGTTTCCCCCAGTCTATATGTGTCCTTTCGGTTTTTCTTACCTAAATATAAGGCGTAACTTTTCTCTAACGTTGAATTTCATTTTCTTAGTTAGGGCCCAGTGTTCAATCTCTCAAGATCCATCTGGATCTTGAGCCTATCATCTTTGGTATTGTTGGCTATTCCTGCCAGGAGGAGGACATTTTGGGAGGTCCTGTGGCCTGGCATTCTCCCATTCTCAATAGAGAAGGTTGGAAGGCCAGGGGTGAAATCCAGCAGCTTCTGACAGGTTCTGGAGAACCGGTCGAGGAAATTTTGAACAGTTCGGAGAACCAGCAAATGCCACCTCTGGCTGGCCCCAGAGAGGGGTGGGAATGGAGATTTTGCAATATCCTTCCTCCTGGAGTGGGGTTGGAATG